AACTCGTAAAAAGAGCGGTGTACCGGTTTGATCCTGAGCCGTGGAAAAGATTGAGTTTGCTCTTGCACTCGTAAAAGGAGCAGTGTAGTGGTTGGGCTCTGATCCGAGAAAAGAGCCAGAAAGTTTTCTTGCACTCGTAAAAGGAGCGGTGTAGTGGTTGGGCTCTGATTCGAGGAAAGAGTCAGAAAGTTTTCTTGCACTCGTAAAAGGAGCGGTGTAGCGGTTGGGCTCTGATATGAGGAAAGAGTCAGAAAGTTTTATTCAAAATCTCAAGAGGCGCTTGGGGAGTGGATTTGGTCGAGTTTGATCGAACCACTGTGTAAAACTGGTGTTATATTTTCTAACCCTTTTCCTATTTAAATTCTAAATTATAGTTTTATTGTTATTAAAAAAAAATTAATAATTACATGGTTAAAACCCTATTCACCCCTCCATGGTTGTCATATGGATTCAACAATTATGATATGACATGTGATAAATTAGCATGTTTATGATATGATATATTGTGTGCTCATACATTGGGGGATACTCGTATTCCTTCACGATGGTACGGACGCATACACCAATGGACAGGAGAACTATCATTATGTTTTATATAATGCTGACATGACAGTTACTAATTCTAACGGGTGTCCGGTATAAAGAGCTACCAAAGCATGCACACCCGACAAGGAAAAGGGTCCAGCGGTGAGCGAACTGGTTAGTGAGTTCATACTCGCACGTCTTGGCTAGTTTAAATATTCAAGCCACGTGCTACTTCTATTTTAGGTTAAGGAAAGACATTCCTGTAAGGTTGACGACGACATCGCAACTCGAGACCATGACACATGCATAGGCTAGTCGTATTTATTTTTTTTAGACTTAGGTTAGAATAGGATATTTTTAATTTAAACGTATATTTATTTTATTTAGTCTTATGTTGTGTTGTTTTTTTAAAATGTTTTTAAAACACGTAAGTCCATGACTGTGTTTTAAGATGAAAATGTCGTTTTATAAAAATTTAAATAAAATATTTTTACATTCAATATTCATATACATAGTATATTGGACGAACTTAAATTACGTTGAAAATTATTCAAAAATATCTAGCACTCTTGGTGGTGTCCATAGTTGAAAACAATGGCAGCATCTTTATCACCACGACCGCTACAGTTGACCACCACTTTGCAACCGTCAGTTAGGGTGGGGCAAAGCTCGTCAAGATAAGCAAAGGCATGAGAAGCTTCCAATGATGGAAAAATGCCTTCCAATCTGCATACCCGTTTGTAAGCTTCCACTGCTTCTTTGTCTATTGCTGTGTGAAATTCAGCTCTACCACTCTCTTTTAAGAAGCTCAGCTCTGGTCCTACTCCTGGGTATTCCAGTCTGCAATTCAAAATTTGCATGTTCTTCAACTTAAAAACAAAAAAAGTTCGAAATTTAAAATAGATTGTGAAGGAGTCCTACGTCGGCTAATTAAGAGGTTGATCATGGGTTTATAAGTAAGAAATACATCTTCATTGGTAATACTCAAAGTGAATAATATCATACAATTGTGGAGGTTCGTGATTTCTAACATGGTATCAGAGCCATGTCCTTAACTTAGCCATGTCAATAGAATTCTCAAATGTCGAATAAAGAAGTTGTGAGCCTCGAAAGTGTAGTCAAACGTGACTCAAGTATTGAACAAATGGTGTATTTTGTTCGAGGGCTCCAAAGGAGTTGAGCCTTGATTAAGGGGAAGCTATTCGAGTGTTATAAGTCTCAAGAGAAGTTTTATGGTGTACTTCATTCGAGGAGAGGATCTTTGAGGGGCTCCAGAGAAGGAGTCGAGCCTCGATTAAGGAGAGGTTGTTCGAGGGTTCCATAGGCCTTAGAGGAGGCTCTATGGTGTACTTTATTTGAGGGGAGGATTAAAGAGAGGTTGTTCGAGGGTTTCGCAGACCCTCAGAGGAGGTTCTATGGTGTACTTTAATTGAGAGAAGGATTAAGGGCAGGTGTTCGAGGGTTCCATAGGCCTCAGAGAAGGCTATATAGTGTACATTATTTGAGGGAAGGATTGTTGAGGGCTCCAGGTGAGGAAGTTGTTCGAGGGTTCCATAGGTTTCAGGAGAGGCTCTATAGCGTACTTTATTTAAGGGGAAGATTGTTGAGAATTGTTGGGAGATGAGTCCCACAACTACTAATTAAGAAGTTGATAATGAGTTTATAAGTAAGGAATACATATTACGTGGCTTACTAACATACTTACCCTACACCGACAGAATGAGGAACAAGGATTTGGCCTTCGTCATCTTGCAAAAGGTAACTCAAAGCTCCATGGTAAACCCCAACATGTCCTTTAGACAAAGTAGCTGAGTGCTTTCCACTATCCAACCCAAACCCAGCAGCCTCAACTCCAATCAACCTCACATCTTCTTCGTTGATGAACTCATTGAACAGTCCCAACGCGTTTGAGCCACTCCCAATGCATGCCACAAGCACGTCTGGTAAGCCTCCCCATTTCTCCATGGCTTGTTTTCTCGTCTCTTTTCCTATCACTGACTGAAACTCCCTCACCATTGCTGGACATGGGTGCGGCCCTACCACTGTCCCCGTCAAGTAATAGCTCCTTTCCAAGTTCCCGACCCACTCTCTTATCGCCTCGGATGACGCGTCCTTGAAGTTTCCTTCTACAGATTTCACCTGATATAGTATTCAACACGAGATAATAAATCTGTTAGGAGTCACGAATCTCCCCAATGACATGATATATATTAGAGACTCCCTCCCGACAAATTAATGTACCTGAGCACCCAGCAGCTTGATTAAGACAACATTTGAGGATTGCTTCTTGATGTCTTCAGAGCCCATGAAAATGGTGCACTCTAAATCATGTTTGGCGCAGGCAGCTGCAGTGGCAACACCATGCTGGCCAGCCCCAGTGGCGGCAACCACACGCCTCCGCCCCATGCGCTTGGCAATCATAACCTGCGCTATTGCATTGTTCATCTTGTGTGCACCGCAGTGGTTCAGATCCTCTCTTTTTATGTAAATCTCAGGGCCCTTTCCTTCCTCGTCTTTGTAGTGCCTTGTCAGCCTCTCAGCGTAATACAGCGGCGTCTCTCGCCCAACAAAGTCCCTCAGCGCTACCTCCAGCTCCTCCTACACAACCACAACACCCGAAATTAAGTCACGACTAGTTTGTTAGGAATCACGGCTCTCCACAATGGTATAATATTGTCCATTTTGAGCACAATCCTTCCCTCGAACGAAGTACACCATGTAGCCTTTTTTGAGGCCTATGGAGCCCTCGAACATCTCCTTAATCGAGACTCGACTCCTTCTATGGAGCCGTTTAATAAAATACACCATTTGTTCAACACTTGAGTCACTTTTGACCATACTTTCGAGGCTCACGACTCGATTCTTTTGTTAAACATTTGAAAATTCTATTAACATGTCGATTCTTTTGTTAAACATTTGAGAATTCTATTAACACGACTAAGTTAAAGGCATGACTCTGATACCATGTTAGAAATCACTAATATATGAGAGAAGAACACGTACCTGAAATTTGGAATCGTTCAAAACCAAGTTGAACTCGGCTTCCAATTTGGCCAAGCAAGTGATTAGAGACTCGGGCACGAACTTCCCACCAAATTTCCCAAACTTTCCTTCATGAATTGTTTGTTTAGAGTTCTTGTGGTGATCATCAATTACAGGCTGCATCTTTAATGCTGGCGTAGGCTTCTTTGTTGGCGTGAAAGTGGGTGACCCAATTCCGTTGCCAAGCTTTACATGCGACCTGGCTATGCCTCTGGTTGCATCTAATTGGTTCGTGACAGCAGCATTAATGTTGTGCACAACATTGGATGCCATTTTTAGGTATGTTCTTCCCTTTGAGTATAACAATTGAGAGAGAGAGAGAGGGACTTGAGTGGTTTGTGTTAAGAGAAGCACACAAGGGGTTGTTTATATAAGAGAGTGAAAGTGGCAGCTGAATTGATTCATCTTATTCCACATGTTTAGCAAGGCAAAATTAAAGGAAAAGTAATAGACGCAACAAATACAAGTTTGGTCCATTATGAATACCATCTTAGCACAATGTTGTTTGAAGGCGACGCTATAATATGATTGATAGCTCGATGAATTAAAGATAAATGGTAAAAATATTTCACTTTTATAATTACTCGTCGTCCCAGTGAGAAGTTGTTATTGAATGGTGGTGAAAAGCTCTCACCTAAGGATACTACTCGCTATCGAAGTGTCGTTGGTGCTCTCCAATATTTGTCTCTGACACGTCCTGATATATCCTTCTGTGTCAACAGAGTGTGTCAGTTCATGTCCTCTATACATTGGGCGGCAGTCAAACGAATTCTCCGTTATCTACATGACACTATTGATATGGGTTTGTGTCTTACAAAGTCCAGCACTGATTTGTTGAGTGCCTTTTCAGATGCTGATTGGGCTGGGAATCCTGATGATCGTCGAAGCACTGGAGGCTATGTGATCTTCTTTGGTGGCAATCTTATCTCTTGGAGTTTGAGGAAACAATCGACAGTTTCTCGTTCTAGTACGGAAGCGGAATATAAGGCGGTTGCTGATGCCACTGCCAAATTAATTTGGATCCAAGTCCTCTTGCGTGAGCTCGGGATCTCGCAAGAGCAAGCACCTAGCCTATGGTGTGACAACATTGGTGCCACCTACCTATCCGCCAATCCAATCTTTCATCGACGGACGAAGCATGTTGAGGTTGATCATCACTTCGTTCGTGAACGAGTATCGACTCGTCAGCTTGATGTTCGACTCATCTTCCAAGGATCAGCTCGCCGATATCATGACAAAGTCACTGCCAGCTCCTTCTTTTAGCTATTTTAGGCGCAATCTGAACTTAAACTTAGTAGTACATTGTCCAGATTGAGGGGGTGTTAAACGTAAAATAGATCATATCTGTATATATTAAGATAATCTAGGATTTACTAGTTTATTACCAAATCTATAATTTCATGGTTTGTTATCAAATCATAGATTTGGATTGTAATCTTCATTATACACATCTATAAATACATGAGGTCGTGACTCATATAGGTCATCGTGCCATTCAATCTAACAATAGTTATTAAAGAATAAATATATTTTTGGATCTAACGATTATTATGAGACAGCTACATTGTGACGTTTTTTATTGAATAATTTGTACTCACATAATAATCCATCGTCCTTTGTGTCCTTTCGACCAATGAAAATTGTTAGGAATCATGACTCTTGACAATAGTATGATATTGTTCACTTTGAGTATAAGCTCTCTCATGGTTTCCCAAAAGGCCTCATACCAAGAAAGATGTATTCCTTACCTATAAATACACGATTATTCCCTAAATTAACCGCACGTGGGACTTTCTCTCAATAATCCTCAACAGAAACTAGTGAGGGCAAACCGAATCCCTACACACGACTCGGCTACTCCACCTCTCGTTTTAACCATGTGGGTCAACGTAGAAATTAGGTAAATAGTATATGAGGTTTTGGTCCCATGTGTAACATGTATGCTCCAAATTAGTAAGATACGTTATATACTGCAAAACATTCTAACAAAATTTAGCATCAAGAAATAAAGACGTGCATAATTGAGCTGGGCTTGTGGGGTAATGACTTGACAAGACGATCACATGGCTAGTTTTTTAGCTTGTCGAGCCCTTAGCCACCTAATGCCTACGTTTTCCTACTATGTTTTTGGAAGGACCACGTTTTTCTCGAATGTTTTTCAATTTCTCATTTTTAAAGAGTTGATGTATATATTTTTTCAATGATTCAATAAAAGAAAGAAATATTCTCTACCAAATGAGACTTTCACGAGTGTTTTTCGAAAAAATTCATCAATTTAATCACACCTATTTAGTTTGAGTTGGATTATAAATTTATTGACGGAGTTAAAAGTTGGATGTAAATAAATGAAAATTTTATAGATTTGATTGATTTATAGGTTGGGTTGAATCCAATCCACCTATATTTATTTATTGTTAATTAAAAAAATTGGTTGTAATAAATTTTTTTTTTAAAAAATCACATTGGGGAGTTGGGTTTGGCAGTAAACAAGATAGCTTGCTTCCTTTTATCTTACTTGAACTATTTGAAACCAATTGAAAAATACTCTTTCTGACCCAGCTCCATTTCTTATTAGTTTCAATAGAATTATAATTTCTGATTATGTGGGACTCCTAAGACAAAGGGTCATAGTAGCTTCGACACCAAGGGGGGTTGTAGTAGTTTTGGCCTAGGCCAACCAAATAAGTGACTCTACTATCGATTAGTTGGAAGAATTGCTCTCTGTATGATGACACGTACCTAGTGGCATTGCACGTGTCATATCTGTGATATGTTTGATGATATGATGTGTCAATTTATGTTACGATTAATTATGTCATGTTATGAGATGTACTACATATATACTATGAGACTGAAATGACCATCATGTTTGCCATGGTGCACGACAGTCGTCGTACCTTTGGGTGTCTGGTGACAACACTGAGGAGCTAGCTCAACTAGTAGACTTTAGGGGTGTACGAGCTCATTTGGTGGGCCCATGCTCGCACGTGTGGGTCATGTGTAGAGAAATACTACACATCCAACTTATCCGAAGTAGATAGGTCTCATTCATGTAGCATGTGTTGCATTCTCTGACCCAACAGTGGGGTCACTCACTGTACTCAAGACACCCATGTATGGTTGATAAAGGTGTCACGTTAAAGATGGTAGAACATGTGTTAAGGTATGATTTTAATCTTTTCTTTGGTTTTATCTTTATTTTATACTAAACATTTTTCATTGTTTCAGACCACGAATAGGCTCGACCAATATGACTTGTTGATTGTTAAAAACAAAAGTTTGTCAGAGGATTACAAAAGGTGGGTATCAAAATAAAATTAGAAGGCTACACCAAAGAAAAAGCCACCACATGTTGAAGGCATTAAACATGTGGATCTATGCAAAAGTAGTTCAGAACATAACGTTTAAATTAAGAGATGTGGTGATGAGAAAGGATAAGGTTTGAAATCAACGGGGCAGAAATATATTTCCGTCTTACAAAGAAAGATTTGAAGGGACACGCTGTCATCTTGTCAGTGGTGAGGAACATGTCAACAATGGCGTACAAAAATATAATATATTTTTTTTTGAAAACATTGAATAAATAAAAAAACTCACTCTCCAACTGAAGTGAGATCTCACAATCTACCTCTTGAGAATCTACCGTTCTCGTTGGTACACCACTTGGTGTCTAGCTTTGATACCATTTGTAACAACCCACTCCACCACTAGGAGATATTGTTCGTTTTGACCTATTACGTATCGATGTTAGCCTCACGGTTTTAAAACGTGTATGTTATAAAGAGGTTTCCACATTTTTATAAGGAATGTTTTGTTCCTTTTTTCCAACTGATGTGTGATCAAACAAATATATAGGTCCATCTGGGTGTATGGCAAAGCTGGATGACAACAGAGCAACGTAATCTCGGTCTCTATCGCTCAACACCATGTTCATAGTGATTGTGTCGACTGGTGCGTAGATTGTGTAGCCATCGGTGATGTTGCTGCAACTTTGTTGTTGTATCAGCATGTTGCTTCCACTTGAATTTGTCGGTCTTTTTCTCTATATTCAAACGCTCTCAAATGGTAGGGGAGGCTTGGGTGACCGAAACGTTGATTGAGGGAATCCTTGTAAGGACGTGGGTGGTTCTGTTTTGGAGATCTCAGCCGCCTCGCTAGAAATCTCGCAGTTTTCAATATATATATTCATTCCGTTACAATCCATATCAAATATATTTCCATCGTTCTATTTTGTTTGTTTGCTTTTGAGTGAGGGGTAAGGAGTGAAGATATGACGTTTAAATAGAACTCTTAATATCAATATCTCACGGCTAGGGATGCAATACGAAAAATAGAACCCCTTAGTACGAAGTAAGGAGAATGCATATTATTTCAATTTCTTCACATCCTATCCAATCCATCTATATGTCTCGTAGATATGAAGGTCAGTTAATTATTGCTTATGACAAGAAAAGAAAATTCCTCCATTGCACTTTGTTCTATGGTATAGAGTGAAGATCCCATAGTCATGAGTATGTGGATACTCATTCTAAACCACACGGGAGCTTCTATATCCAGGTTACCGACCATCTCGATACTCAAAAGATTACGATACTTCTCTCTCCCCACATAAACCATTCCTTTTTCCTCTTTCTACACCCAATAATGGAAAGTTTAACAAAAAGCGTGTTGTCATTTTTAGGTATGAACACGACTCTCCGTAATTGTATGATATTGTCTACTTTGAGCATAAGCTTTCATGGCTTTGCTCTGAAGTTATGTTTATAAAAACATGATCATTCCCTAAATTAGTCGATGTGGGACTTTCATCATCCAACATCTCCCCTTAATTGAGTTTGACTCCTTTGGAGTCTTAATCATTTTTTACTACCTTCAAGGAGGCTTGACTCTAGGGAATGGCTCTGATACCATATTAGATGAACACGACTCTTCACAATGGTATGATATTGTCTACTTTGAGTATAAGCTCTCATGGCTTTGCTTTGAGCTCCCCCAACAGGCCTCATTTCAATAGAGAGAGTATTCTTTGTTTATAAACCCATGATCATTCCCTAAATTAACCAAGGTGGGACTTTCATCATCGAACAGTTGTTAAAAACGAGAAACAGAATTGGGATGCTATCTTCGCTAAACAACTTAATGTTTAAGTAGGATATAAGCTGCCAACTAATACCTAACAATAAAAAAAATATACCACTAACTAAATCTTGAGAATAAGATAAAATATACTATTAATCAAATCCTAAGATAAAATATATTATTAATCAAATCCTAAAATAAAATATTAATTGATTACGAATATCTCATATATGTTCCATAATTAATTATTATAAGAATAGTTCTTTATTCGAGAGTATAGAGAGTGAAAGTGGCAGTTGAATTGATTGATCTTATTGTACATGTTTAGCAAGGAAAAGTAAAGTAATAGAAATTAGATAGGCAACAAATAGAAGTTTGGTCCGACCATCTTGACACTATGTTATTCGAAGGCGACACTATAATATGATTATAGTTCGATGAATTAAAGATAAATGGTGATTTGATTTGTATTACTTCTCTCATTCTCCTAATGGACTTAGCATTCAAAATTTGAATTCAACACCTAATGGACCTGGTATTCATCTGCATCCCAGGCAACATGGTCATATTGCTTACTACTTGATTCTAAGAGTGAAAACTATCCACACAAACCAAAATTAGTTTTTCGAACATGTTTTGTCCTCACTCACATGTATCTTAGGAAAATTTCCAAGAAATCACCTAACGCATAGAATTGCTCCAAACAAAGCAGGCTTAACTATGGAGTTTCTATGATTAAGCCACTAAAAAGGATGTTGTAACTTGTTGGTATATATAACGGCCTAGTTTTCTACTAACCTAAAGTTGCTATCGTATGCATGACGTAACTTCTTATGTGAAAATATTCATTAAAATGTCTTCCTAAAACAATGTGATGGACTTACATGTTTAAGAAAAGATCTTAAAACAGTACAAGGAAAATATTAAAAATAAATATAAGTAAATGTCAAAAATAATAATGCCTTATACTAACCTATGATGTATGAAATTAGATATAATTACCCTATGCATGTGTCTTGGTCTTTAATTGTGATGTGCATGTCAACCGTACATGATTGTTTTTCCTTTACCAGAAATATAGAAGTAGCACATGCATGATTTTAGTATTTTAGAAATAGTGACCCTACTATTGGGTTAGAGAATGCAAACACATGCAATCATGATTAGAACCTATCATTTCAAACTATCACAGAGGTGACCTTCAGTTCAAAAAAATTGGATGTGTAGTATTTTCCTACACACAGCTCACATGTGCTAGCATGAGCAACCTGACGTTCGGAGGTACAACAAACCTTTGATTATCATCCAAGACATGATCATCATCATCATGTACGCGTCAGTACTCATTATCATAAAATGAGAAGAAACCCGATGTAAATGAACATACAATATACATGAGATATTTATAGTTTTCATCTTAAATCATTCATGTAACACAACTTCATACATCCTCCACATGTTACTCTAGGTAACATGCATGAAGTCTTTAGACATTCATCATTAACAACATCATTTAGGGTTGTGTATCAGAAAACTCTTCATCATAATACAACATGGCATCGTGTACACCGTCTTCCTCGATCACATCATAGCAATTCTCAATCTTAGCCCTCATGTGGCCGAATGAGTGCCACTTGAGAGTCGCCCCTCGTCTATCTTGATGTGTGGTGGTCACAACCTACTTTCTCTTAGTAAGGTTGAGGAAGCTAACTAGAACCAATTTCTAGGTCATGATAGTTGCCAATGTGAGCCATATTAAGCCACCGTTTGAAAGTATATCCCACTCAGAAGAAAGCAAATGAACATTTTTACTAACATATATTTAACCTTATTGCCTCGGTCATGGCTCGGCTCTTTCGAGCCATGACTGCCGAGCCATGACCCGAACGTCATCGGAGCCCATGGCCGATACCGTGAAGAAGCGCCAACCCCAGTGCAGAAGCTGGTTACCATCCTCTCCAAACTGAGATGAAGAGAAAGATGTTAAGAGAAGAAGAGAAGACTGTGCCTACGAAACGCTCTTCATTACAATCCGCAGCTTTGGCGTTCAAATTGTAAGCCCACCTACCCCAATTTGTATAACACTCTCATTCTTTTAAGCCCACATAAGCTTTGGGTTGTATTTGATCCATTTGTGACTCTAAACTTTTTTTAAAAACTTCAAAAATACTAAACTATTAATCGTTTCAAAAAATTTCATGAACTCTCTAAAATGACATTAGAACATTTGTAGATAATATATGATTTATCGATTTACTTCCATTTCCGGCTTGCCTTTTTTACCCAACATAGATATTTCATCAAGATCATTCTTTTTATACATCGAGATTTCCTTCACGGGGACGAAAAGTAGCTGATTTACACTCGAGTCGAAAAAAATTACACCACTCTTGATATGATAAAAAAAGATACTGCTATCACAATCTTTTCTCTACGCATATAGACTTGTTCTATTCCTTTGCATGAGTATGAGAGTTATGATGGCAGTTCTAAGCTCGCAAAGTCGGTATCATCTTGATTTCACCGAAGGACGATGGCTTCGTCTTTGATGCTCGTGATGATTTTGAGGACGACGATGATTTTGGAGAGAAGTTTCTGCTTTTTTTCCTTGGTTTTGTTCGAAGGTCGGGAATTTCTGTCCGTGGAAGCTCGCCGAAGAAGTCGGATGATTGTTGGCGTAACATTGCTTGATCAAAATCTGTTAGCAGATACACAAGAGTTTAAGAATCCTTGATAAGCAATGATGTCCAGAACATGATGTAGGCACACCATAGCAATCAAACAATCACAGACCATGTGCAACTACCATCAATTGTTCACAGAAAGTTATAAACTGCGTGTCAACATCGAGCAGGGAGACCCAAAAAAACGAAGAAAAGTTCTGAGTGTAATAGCCCAAGCACACTGCTAGTAGATATTGTCCGTTTTAGCCGCTACGTATCACCATCAGCCTTACGATTTTAAAATGTGTCTACTAGAGAGGTTTCCACACCCTTATAAGGAATGTTTCGTTCCCCTGTCCAACCAATGTGGGATCTCACAATCCACCCCCCTTGGTCCGGTGTCTGGCTCTGATACCATTTGTAACAGCCCAAGTCCACCACTAGTAGATATTGTCCACTTTGGTCCATTACGTATCGACGTTAGCTTCACAATTTTAAAATGTGTCTACTAGAAAAAGGTTTCCACACCCTTGTAAGGAATGCTTCATTCCCCTGTTCAACCAATGTGGGATCTCACAATCCACCTCACTTGAGGGCCAACATCCTCGTTGGACGCTGACATACTGCCCAGTGTCTGGCTCTAATACTATTTGTAACAGCTCAAGCACACATCTAATAGATATTGTCCGCTTTGGCCCGTTACGTATCACCGTACAGCCTCACGATTTTAAAACGCATCTACTAGGAAGAGGTTTCCACACTCTTATAAGGAATGCTTCGTTTCTCTCTCCAACCGACGTGGAATCTCAAGAACTGTGACGACAAACTATTGAAATTTAGCATTTAGTTCAATCATTCAACAAAAATCCAAGAACTACGCGAACATAATGTACAAAGTGAAACATAATACTGCCATCTCAACCAGAACCATTTTCTGATGTAGTAGGCTGCTAACTTCAGATTTAGACTACGATTTCGAGCTTAACCGAATAAAATCAACGAGTAAATCGGTATATCATCATGGTTTAAGTGAATTCAACCATTTTCGATAGAACAGATCGATGACATCTTATTTTTCGAATGGCTTTCGATATAAACAATCAATCTGGTGATGGACCACACATATAATAAAATATCACAACTTTGTTCCTTTCTAAGGAGTAGTGGTCTCGTGACACAAAAGCCAAAACCTCTCTATTGAGGTAAAGAATCTTCTAAATCTGTTCATATCATAGAGGTTAACCCGTGAGAAGCCCCTGTTGTTTTCACTTCTCCACCACATGTTCTAAGTTCCATTTCTAATCCTGAATTTGTTGTTCTTATTGCAAAAAGAAGTCATAGAAGCTAAAATGGAGGGTAGCAAAAAGTACCAATAGAAGACCATGTTGTAGGAGCTGTTACAGCAGTAGAACTTGAATCTCTTCTATCACTGATATCGCCGAACGCCGCCGCCGAGAAATGCTCCGGTGCTGATTTGAACTCATTCATCTAACAAAGTAGGGAAAATTTTAGAAACCCAGATGACAAAATTGTGAAAAGAAGCAAGAATCACTCCAAAACTGAAAAGAAAGTGAAAAAAAATTGACCATACCCAACTGGGAGCTGTGGCAGAAGGGCCATCCCATCCAATATGTGCAACATGCTTCACATCCGTTGGGTATCCAATCTCCATCTCTCGCTCTTTCATCACTAATACAGTCCCAACGTTTTCACATCAGTCCCAAAAATCAAGAACCAAATAAAAAGTTAAGAGACAAGAAATAGAAGCATTACCGAAGATTTGGGAAATGTACTTGAAACTCTTGTAGATCCCTTTCAATTTGTTTGACATGGTTTCAAAATCAAGAACAGCTGAGACAACCAACCCCTTCAAACAATAAGATTGGGAATCGACAAACAAAAAAACCTCCCAATAAGTTGGGAATTAATGGTTTTTTCCTCTGAATCCTGCCAGAAAAGTAGACATTCTCAGCTCAGACAAGCATTGCGTGTATTTTTTATGCATATTAAGATCAAACAATGCTTAGAGTATCAGAGAAGGCTGATTGCATGTGATTTAGGACCAACTTTTTCCCACTCTTTTTCCGGTGGATGAAGAATGGTATCTAATAATGACGAAAACATGATCTACAGATGCATTAAAGGGTTCGAAGATCAAAGCCCATATTACTTTCCGTTCATACAAAGTTCAAACAAACATAGAAAACTAAACAGAAAAGCGAGTAAAAGCCAAATTTAAAGGATACGATACCTAAAGACGGTGCTTAAAATGGCAGAAAGAAGGGAGGGTTGGATTCAGCAATCTGTTCTTCCTCTGCTTCTGCACTTGGATTCGATTCCTTCAAATGGATGATGAACGATCCAAAGCATTCATTTGGGGGTTCAAAAAGGTTAAAAGTGAAAACCCATTAAGGAAAAACAGCTAAGAACAAAGGGAGCAATGAAAAGAAATGATTAAAATCCAAAAGAGTAGAGACGACGGAGGAGAGAGGGTAAATTGAGGATGAAAGGCTTCCAAAATGAAGGGTAATTGAAAGACAGGACAATGAACCAAGCCTACACAAAATACCAACAAAATTGGGTGGAAGGTTGAGACCCGACACATCATACTATTGTTGAGAGTCGTAAGAAAATATTTTATTTTATTTTGATTATTTATTTATTGTAAATTTATAAAAATCAATTTTTTTAAAATTTTATTTTGTGGGGTTATGAGTTTTGGTGAAGTGAATTTGGTTCAGAGCTGCTTTTAATGCTTAGATTTAGGTGATGGTAGTTGGAGGAACGTCTTGGCCTTTGCTTCGACACAATGCTCTCTTGATTTCAAACAAACCCATTTCCTCTCATGCACTTTCTCTTCCATTTTCAATCTTATTACTAAATTTGGTACTTATCACATGTTATTTAATATGAGATCCCACGATGGTGGGAGAGGAGTGTAAAATTCGGCATTAGTTGGAGAGGAGAACAAAACAATTCTTATAAAAGTGTGAAAATTTCTTACTAGTAGATGCGTTTTAAAACCGTGAGGCTGACGGCGATATGTAACGGGCCAAAGCAGACAATATCTTCTAGTAATGAACTTGGGCTGTTATAAATGGTATCAGAGTCGAGTTATCGAACGGTGTGCCACTAAGGACGTTAGGCCCCCAAAACCTCTCCCTAATAGACGCATTTTAAGACCATGAGCATGACGACAATACCTAACGGGTCAAAACAGACAATATCTACTAATAGTAGGCTTGTGCTGTTACACAAATACTCGAGTGTAGTTTTGTAGGTAAGAAATCAATTAGTATCTCAAATTGATCTTGCACTCTTATCATTGTTGAACTTAAAAAACATGATCTCTACGTCTCAAACAACTATCCTTCTTAACTATTTGTGATGTTGTTTGATGCAAGAGATCAGACATGCAAATCCACTAGTGTCTTAGACTCAAACATAATAAATTGAGATTCAAATAAATGATCGTATTTCTATTAGGAGCGTTCGTGGGTTGGATCAACTCGGGTAAAATATTCCTTTTAAATCCAACTCAAATGTTAAGGTTTATTTAGTTCATCCAATCTAATTTAGGAAACTCATAAATTAACCAATTCATACCATTTTCATTTATTTGGATCTAATCCATCTCAAATAAATTTACTAATACCTCTAGCGTGAGAGAGTTGTTCTTTGTCAGGCCGCTCAAAGAGACGGTGGAAGGTTGCATATCATCATCAATGTTGAAATGGCAGTTGCTGAGACCTTGCAGAGATGTGGTCAAGGCCTAGGATTTGCTGGCCCACAAAAGTGAGCATTAAGACAGGTTGAGCATAAACTTTTGTAGTAATGCACCACAAACGCGTTCCCCACTCCCCACTATATCAGCCTCTCATCTTCTTCCATCTCTTTCTCTACTGGTGTAAGCTAACGCAGAGTGGTATCAGTGCATGCAGGAGTGAGGTAGTGGCATGCCCCTTCACATCCGCTCCACAAATGAATAGAGAAGAAGGGTCAGCAATGAAATAGGGAAAATCGAAGCCGCTGTATCTGTACGCAAAGAGAGGAATAAAGGCGACAGTAAAAGAGTATCAAAATAAACACCATCACCTTTCCAACCATTTCACCTCTGCAATTTTATTCTTTGCTTCCGCCAAATAAACCACTTTTGACTTCATATTACCTAATTCAATACAACCATTAATATCATACTTCAAATTCTTGAACAGCTTTGATCTGTCAAAGAGAACAAAAGGAATAAGGTAAATATTACTAAAATCCAAAAAGGAAGTGAAAAAGAGATGCACCCTCTCTGTTCCCTATGCTTTATTTTACTCAGCTGCTTTGCTTCCTCTGAATTCCATTGATACCCATGTCGGCTTAGCTTCTGCCTCCTTATGCAATGATCTTCTTTTGGGCATTTTCGTCAAATAACTGTTTACTCGGACCAACCAAAGTTGAATGGACCAACAGTGGCAACCCATTTTTAACATGTTCGCTTGAAATTGCAAGTGAAATACGCTTTTAACTTATAACCAGAATGAAAAGTCGACTTTGATAAAGGAGGGTGTGGGCTCACTAACTTCCTCTTCTTTTTCTTTCCACTTGACGGAGTCGATTCCGTGATTGAGTAGCAGATAAAGCACTTAATAGTTGAAACTCAGAGTCAAAGATATAGCGTTCCTTTTGTACCTGCATTAATTCAAGACACCGTTAGATATTGCCGTCAGGCTCACATTTTAAAATATATCGGTTAAGGAATAGGTTTCCACACCTTTACGAAAAATGCTTCATTCTTCTAAACTACTCGTTCTCTCAAACCGACATAGCATACATAAGTTTTGTCCATTTCCATTTCTGACTGTTAAACTACCAAGCGGTGACAATACACTAGTAGTGAAACACTGAAGTTTAAGCTTAAGCGAAGTCCTTCACTTGGTTTTGCTCAAAATGTCAGAATTTCTAACTTGATTTTGAAAGAGCAAATAATATGTTTTCTTCTAAGTTACGTATCCGAGAAACCCCATAAATCTTCCCACTTTCCCAAGATGGAGATGAAGTGGGTTTCCCCAATACACATTCTTGTTTTAACAGATGCACTCTTGGCCGCCGAAATCAACTTTTTGCAGATATGTTCAAAATGGCTATAGCACTGATGATAATTTAAGCTGTAGCCAAGACTGAAGGACTTTTGGAGATAGGCACAGAGAACGGGGATGGACCTTGGGGGAAAAGGAGAGGGCAGCCATATCTGGTTCAGATCTGATTCGACCCCTCTAAAGAGTTCCTTACCCTATTCAATTCTCTGGACGACCAGGGGTTTGTGTTCATCCTATCATGACTAAAAAACTTATCCAAAAAGGACATAACTTCAACCATGTTTAGTCATCATCATCCCCAATGACGACAAGAATCTGGATAAGAGAAGTCTGGACACAATTCTTAAACAAGAAACGAAATTTTTATTCGAAATATGACACCTTATATTAGTATTCTCCCCATACTGTAACCATCAGGGAGCATTTAAAAACATAACACCAGAAGAAGTAGAGAACAGAAGAAAATAACAAATGGCCGCAACAAGGCCACCCCACCACGCATGCTGATTTATCCATCTTCAGAAGAACAATTTAGAAGCCACCACGGAGACGAAGGACAAGGTGAAGGGTAGACTCCTTCTGGATGTTGTAATCAGCCAGAGTCCTGCCATCCTCCAGCTGCTTACCAGCAAAGATCAACCTCTGCTGGTCTGGAGGAATTCCCTCCTTGTCCTGGATTTTCGCCTTCACATTGTCAATTGTGTCGGAGCTCTCCACCTCCAAAGTGATGGTCTTCCCGGTGAGGGTCTTCACAAAGATCTGCATGCCTCCCCTCAAACGAAGGACAAGGTGAAGGGTTGACTCCTTCTGGATGTTGTAATCAGCCAGAGTCCTTCCATCCTCCAGTTGTTTTCCAGCAAAAATCAACCTCTGCTGGTCTGGAGGGATGCCTTCCTTGTCTTGGATTTTGGCCTTCACGTTGTCAATGGTATCAGAGCTCTCGACCTCCAGGGTGATGGTCTTCCCAGTCAGAGTCTTCACGAAGATCTGCATACCACCACGGAGACGCAAGACAAGATGGAGAGTCGACTCCTTCTGGATGTTGTAGTCAGCAAGAGTTCGGCCATCCTCCAATTGTTTCCCAGCGAAGATCAGCCTCTGTTGATCTGGAGGGATACCTTCCTTGTCCTGAATCTTGGCCTTCACGTTGTCGATGGTGTCTGAAGACTCAACCTCCAGAGTGATGGTCTTACCGGTGAGAGTTTTGACAAAAATCTGCATTCCACCACGGAGACGGAGGACAAGATGAAGAGTGGATTCCTTCTGGATGTTGTAGTCAGCAAGGGTTCGCCCATCTTCCAACTGCTTTCCAGCGAAAATCAACCTCTGCTGGTCTGGAGGGATACCTTCCTTGTCCTGGATCTTGGCCTTAACGTTATCGATAGTGTCGGAAGACTCCACCTCGAGGGTGATGGTCTTTCCTGTAAGGGTCTTGACGAAGATTTGCATGCCACCACGGAGCCGAAGCACGAGGTGGAGAGTTGATTCCTTCTGGATGTTGTAGTCGGCAAGAGTTCGGCCGTCCTCAAGCTGTTTCCCGGCGAAGATCAAACGTTGCTGGTCCGGAGGGATTCCCTCCTTGTCCTGAATCTTGGCCTTGACGTTGTCGATGGTGTCGGAAGACTCCACCTCAAGAGTGATCGTCTTTCCTGTAAGGGTCTTGACGAAGATTTGCATGCCACCACGGAGCCGAAGCACCAGGTGAAGAGTAGATTCCTTCTGGATGTTGTAGTCGGCAAGAGTTCGGCCATCCTCAAGTTGTTTCCCAGCGAAGATCAAACGTTGCTGGTCCGGAGGAATTCCCTCCTTATCCTGGATCTTAGCCTTAACGTTGTCGATGGTGTCGGAAGACTCCACCTCAAGGGTGATGGTCTTGCCTGTGAGTGTCTTGACGAAGATTTGCATCTATACAGAACGAAACACACAAAAATCAGGACAATTTCTATCAAAATGATAACACGAACAAGTCAAAAACCTAAATTCTAAATCTCACTTAGATAAAATCAGTAAAATCCCAATGTTTCAAGCCAAACTCTCACAAAACACACTACAATCCGAATACATATCATAAAACTTGAAACAATCCACGCAGATCCAACCACAGAGCATCAGATCTCCCAGAAGAATAAACGATTCAAAATTTTCCACAACAAAAGGGGAAAAAGAAAACACCGATCCAGAACTCTACAAATTCCATCTCTCGAAACAGATGAACAGAATCAAAGCGAAAAAGAAAAGAAGGCAGAAAAATACCTTGAAGAATTCGCTGTAGATTGATCGATGAAAGAAGAGAGATTCAATTGCGGAGAAACCCAAGCCGGGAGGGGCGAATTTATAGGAAATTATAAGGAGAATTGGTCATGGCAGGCGATGAATTATCCACACATTTCCGCCACGTAAGCATTTATTATCTGTCATTCGCCGTTACTTGCAGGCGAAGGCAGAAATGGAATCTGTGGACCAAAATTCAAAGCAATAAGCCGACTCAATAATAGCACGCAAAACAACAACTAACGTCGTTATAACGGAGTTAGGTTCTAGTGGTTCTCAAGAAAATTCTAGACGTTTTGCGCATCTTTGCGTTGAATCTACTATTCTTCTTTCCCTAGATGGGTCGTGACCCCACACGCAAGATAGACTTGGGGAGACTTTTAAATTATGTTTTTCGGCCAATACGAGTTGTGATGCGAAAAGAGGACGATGCATCATCTAACACACCAAGCATATACATTAAAGTCAAATTGAAAAATTAGGAAGTTTGGAGAGAACCACGAGCGTTGAAGACAATCTCGAAGAGGATCAAGTAGATCCCTGAATCATAACCTTAGACGTTGGGATTTCTATATGAGTTTCGGGATGTGGTTCGAGAGTTAAGTTCATTTATATAAAAGATGAAAATCACCAAAAATTGTGTCAATTGGATGTCTGCACGCATGGTGGTTCAATATGAGTACTTATCAAAATAACGCCTACTCCAGAAAGATTAGAAATGAGTCAAAATGTACTATAGGAGAGGCATGGTGTTAGCTCTCTTCTCCTCCTGGGCCATGTGGCCTAAGCGGGCTACCCTGTGGCACATACGTGTGTCGTGGTGTGGGCAAGGTCTTGGACAACTTTCTTTGAAATGGGTCTTTCAAAAATAGTGTCGGATGACCCTGATAGGTATGAATGACATGATGAATGGATGTTTGGGATGTCACGATGAGATGAGTGACGCATGGATC